GCCAGACCTGACCGTCACCCAAGCCAGGCAGCCAGCCAGCCGCCAGCCGCCAGCCGGCCCAGCCAAGCCACCCGGTGAGTTGCCAGCCGCCGCTGCTTCCGCCTGCCGCTATCAATCATCGGAGACATCGGAGAGGCCCTCTTTGGCATCTCCGATGATTGACGGCCCTTGCTTCCGCTCCTTTCCGCCTGCGTGCACAGCCCTTGCTGTTGCCTGCTGGTCTGCTGCCACTCTGGTGAGTTGACTGTTGCCGCTCTTGTCCTTCTGCTGATTGCTGTTGCTGACTCCTTCGCTCCCGTCTCCCTTTTGCCTGCTCCTCCCTCACCGCCTTTCTTTGCTGCCGACAATGCTCTGCTGCTGTTGCCTGCTGCCGCCCTGCCGCTCTGCCGCCGCCCTGCTGCCTGCTGCCTGCTGCCGCCTGCCTTCCTGCCTGCTCGCCCTGCCACTCAACAATGCCATCACCACGCCGCTGCACATTAGTAGTCAGATTTAGCAATACAATGCCTGTAGATACATGTGGCTGTGGGTTTGGGGGTAGACCTACGGTAAGCAGGCCGTAGGGTGCCTACGGCCAGAAATGCTGTAGGTGGTCCTACGGCATCTGGGTACCGTAGGGGATTAACGATCTCCTACGGCACTGCCATATTGTACAAGATCTACGATTTCCAAAATTGTAGGAAAATTCCTGCCCCTAGCTATGCCTGCTGAGCCTGCCACTGACCTTTCTTCTGCCTGCCTCATCTCTGCCGCCTCCCCTTACCCCGCATGCTGTTGTACCCTTACCCACGCTACAATCTGCAGGCGCAATTGTGTTGGAACACCTCGCCGTCTCGCACGAAAAACGCAAAGGATAAGCCGATTCGATCAGAAGGGACACTCTAGAGCACTGGACGCGCCTCCCGGGTCCGACTCCTCCGAGTCCCGACCCGAGCTGTCAGGTAAGGCAAAGGTAGCGGTAAGGAGCAGCTCCTACCCCTGATGCTACCCCTCACCGACGGTCAATCCCTCTTCATTCCTACCCCTCCATTCCTACCCCTTTAGATAGACACATCTAGTTATCTAGAGAGCCGCGGTTCACGGTCAAGTCGAGCAACTTGACCGAAGAGACGGAGCGGTACGGTCCCCTGTAGCTACAGGATCATGGTTGCTGCTCTAGAGGTCTATAGTGACCCGCAGCACAAAGTTGTAGCGTATATATACGACCAGCTTCTGGTCGACGATGGGACCGCTTCTTTATCGAATCATACACACATCATCCCCTTCTATCAGTTCAGCTTACCCTCACACACTCTCCCATATCTCTACAAGCGTCTACAGTCGCCTGCCTTGCGTCTCCGACAACTAGTCCGTCGGCCTACCCTCGACCTGGCCCCAAAGCCGTTCCGAGTCCAGGAATAAAAACTCGACTCCTACGGTTGACTCCATACTGTCCTTTGGTGTTCCAGACAACTAGACTTGTTGTTTGTTGTCGGTTCCAACTTGCACGCACCCTAACAGGTGTTCCAATAAATTGTACCGTAGTTTCTTGTAGCGTTGGTAGGATACGATTCTGCAATTGAAGTCAGTATTTGATCCGATCCATCGCTGCCTGCCTGCGACCCGAACATTGATGCCTGCCTGCGACCCAAACATGGCTGCCTGCCTGCGACCCGAACATCGTACCCTAGCTGCGACCCAAAGTTTGCTGGTGTAGCTACGATCCAAAAAATCGTAGCTAGACACTGGCGTAGCTAAGATCCGAAAAATTGTAGCTACGTCAGTCTAGCTACGATCCAAAAACCCGTAGCTACGTCAGTCTAGCTACGATCTGAAAAATTGTAGCTAGACCGGCGTAGCTACGATCCAAAAAATCGTAGCTACGCTGACAAGTAGCTACGATCTCAAAATCGTAGCTAGTATATGATCTAAAAATTGGCACAGCCGGTCTGCATCCTGAAATCGTTTGTGTAGAAGGATCACCTACGATCTGAAAGTCGTAGCCTGGCAACGCCTATCTACAATCTGAAAAATCGTAGGTTGGCCCTGCTGCTTGCTATGACTCATAGTGGCCAGGATTTCAGATCGCACGTGTATAACGACTCTCAAATCCTGGATCGCACAGCCTGTGCGATAGAAAAAATCGGGAATTAGTTTTGCTGCTAGCTATGACTGTGTGGGCCCAACTTCATGTGATGTATGCAAGCTGGCTGCATGCCTAAAGGGTGGTGGCAAGCCGCTCTGCGGCCTGATTTTCCAAGTCCTGCCAGCTGGTGTAGTCAGGCTGGGTGCCGCGTTGCTGCAACTTGGCGGCCAACTCTTCGGCAGCTTCGAGAACCCTGAGCACGTTCTCGCCGACAAAACCAGCAATTTCGCTGTCGGTCCATCCGATCTGGATGAGCCGAGCTACGAGATGCGGATACTTTGAGACATCTTCGAAACCACGCGGCACCTCGGTGATGCCATCGAAGTCGCTTCCGATGCCGACGTGGTCCCGTCCGACGATGGAGGCGACATGCTGGATGTGCCTGACGACTTGGTCGAGGTCTTCGCTGCCGCCGATGAAGCCTGGAAAGACATTGATCATGACCACGCTGTCCTTGCCCTGCTCCTTCCAGGCAAGTGCGAGCTTGCCGAGCAGCCAGTCTGGGGCGTTGCGAGGCACGTCGTTGAGCGCTCTTGCTGAGGAGTGTGAGAGCATGACGGGTCCCTGGCTGACGTCGATGGTCTGCGAGGCTGTCTGGTCCGAGACGTGAGACAGATCAGGCACAATGCCGAGCCGGTTCAGCTCCTTGATGAGGTGTTGTCCAAACGCTCTGTCGAGCAGAAGGCGAGGGTCGAAGGTCAATTTTGACGCGCTGCATGGGCTGAATCTGCTTCATCACCTACGAAAGACCGTTCCAGCGTGGAGGCTGTTCCCCGGAACTGTCCGCAAACACGTTGTGACAGGTGTGCTGCGATCGGAGTCGCAGGAGGCGTACGGCCGGACGAGGCTTCGAGTCAGTGCGGGGTCCTTTGGCGCAGATTGTGGCCGGCTGCAGGTTCTTACCGTCAGAGTGAGATATCGAAGGGGCCCGACGTGGCCTGGCTTTGCGAACAAGGATGCATAGGCTCGCAGGGCAAAAAGGCTGCTGCCGAGGGAATGGCCGCCTTCAAGGCCGATGAAGCTGACGAGCCTGCCTTTGCGGAAGGCACGACGAGCCTCGCGGGCGGTGCTGACCAGCTCAAACTGGAAGAAGCAAGGTAGAAGGAGGGGTGCACGACGGGGATGCACATGAGCGTCAAGCGCGTCCTTGGTGCTGTTCGCGGATGGGGCAAGAGCGGGCGGCACTCACGTCGTGCGAGTATCGATCGATGAGCTGTCGGATGACGTCCATCTGTTCGAGCGTGTCACGGACCGCGGTGTCTGAGCCGTTGGGGGCTTCTTGACGTGGGCAGGGGACGTACGCGCTCCAGAAGAAGCCGCCGGAGCGGCCCTTGCGCAGCCTGGGGATGTCGACCTGACCACTGGTGGGGTAGCTGCCATTGGGCCACGCTGGGGCGTCAAAGGGGATGGTGTCGAGCTTGTTTGCGTAGCGGTATCGCGCATACACAGGAACGTCGATGTGGCCATCAATGAGCTGGAGCAAATTTGGGATGGACCGTGTGGCGAGACGGATTGGGGCGAAACGAGAGATGGGTGAGAAGAAGATCTTGCCAGTCTAAGAGTCTGAGCCCTGGTAGACGCGAGTCGAAGGGCGCATACCTACCGGATGATGGCGGAGAAGGGCGCTGGCCCTGGCCAGGGGACCAGAGGGGTAAAGAATGCGCCGGTGGACGGGAGCCACATGGAGGTAGAAGAGAGACTCAATTGTGGACTGCGCGCCCGAGGGAAGCAGGAGCAAGAGGCAGACGATGGCGACCAGCACTGTCGAGAGGGTCAGGACGAGGGAGCGACGCGGCGAGCGAGGCGGAGCGGTAGCCGGGTTAACGACACGAGCGGACTGGAAGCGCGAGCGCTTTGCAGCGTCGTGAACGGGGAGGAGCTGCGACATGGCAGTGGGGGGAGTTGGGTTTGGGGATGTAGGTTGAGGGTCAAGCGTGCGACAGACAAGAAGAGGCGGGCGTGATGGATGGAAGTCTGAGGGAAGCACGAGCGAGGCTGGCCAGCGCCCAGGCCTTTCTCCAGGCTCCACCCGCCCCTCGACCTCGTCGCGCCTGGCAAGGTGAGATGCGACACCACCACGTCACCACCACCACGCCCGACCACGTCGACAGCCAGCATGGCAAAGACAAAGAACAAGGGCGCTGCCGCCGGGGCCGCAACCGCCACCACCACTACCACCACCAGCAACCGTACCGCGAGCACGGTCGCAAAATCACAGCCGGATCCGGCCAGGCTCAACGCTGCTGCCGTACACTGGCCCCGGCTTGACCTCAGCACACCCCAAGTCGAGCATCTCGTCGATAACCAGATTGTCCTCTTGCGGGTGCGTGCGCGCCACCGCTCAACCTCTCTCGGCTCGCTCTGGAGCTCCGGTGCCGTCTAGCTTTCTCACCCTCTCCTGACCATCACCGATGGCCGCCATCGCCCTACCAGAACGCCCTCTCGCACAAGACCTGCCGAGCCCTCATATCCCTCTTCCACCACCCCTCCACGTCGTCTCCGTTCTCCTCTGCCCATGCCGCCACCGCAACTCATGCGCTTCTGCCCTCGCCGCCGGCAAGAAAGGGCGAGGCGCAACGCACCAATGCACGCTTCTCGATCGACGATCTCGCCTTTGCGCAGCAGCTGTATCGCCAGAGCGGCATAAAGCAGCTCGTCGAGCAGTTCGAGCCTCACAGATGGCAGGAGCCCGATGGCAGAACACCAAAGGGTCTTCTGAGCAACATCAGGATGTGAGTCGACGCTCCCAGTCCTTGTTTGGGTCTTTTCGCCGTCCGGCCTTGCCTCGCTGCGTCTCGCCCAGTCGGCTGAAGCACTCTAGACGAGCACGGCTCGCTCCACTTCCGCATCGTAGCTATCGCTACGCTCCCCTCGAGCTCTTCGGACCGCACTACGACTCGGCATCCCAGGATCCGCACACAGGCCAAAGGACAGAGTGGACCGTCCTCTTCTACCTTACGGGCAAAGAGGACGGCGTCGTCGATGGCGAGACCGTCTTCTACCATGGTCACTCGACCGTCACCAAGAGTGCCAGGTCGAAGCGGAGCGGCGAAGCGGAACCCATCGTCACTCCCCTCGAGCGTGGGATGGCGGTGCTCCACCGCCACGGAAAGGTGCGTCGAGACCCCGCACCTCTGCCTCTGTCTCTGCGTGTAAGTTGGGGGCTGACGGGTGTCTTTGGTGACGCACCTTCACAGGCATGCATGCTCCATGAAGGTCGGCCGCCGGGCAAGGCGAGCAAGGAGGCCAAGTGGGTGTTGCGATCTGACCTCGTGTTTGGCGGCAACTGAGGCGCCGGGCGGTCGAGGTCAAGAAGCCTAACCCGGCCCAGCCCGGTGCAGCTCCAAAAAGACATCTACAGCGGGGGGGGGGCCACATCCGGACCCCACGCCAGGCCTTTCCTGCCTCCACATGCGAGCGCATCCCTTCTCCTCATCTTCACCATCACCACCCCACCCCACCCATCAGGCATCCTTCCATCGCCTCTTTGTATGCCGTACCGCCCGCAGGCACACCCTCAATCTCTCCGCCTCACCTTCTCGAGCGCCACAGCCGCGATCAAGCATGGCCGTACCAACGATCGGTTACATATCCATCTGCAGCGGCGACCCGGCCGCCCACGCCGCCGCCCAGGCATCGTTTGAGGCTACGGAAGCGCAGTTGCGCAAGATCGCCGCCGATTACGGCCTTGCCCCCGACCTCGACAAGCTCGACGAAGAAGGCCGAGAGATTTTGGCCGGCTCAGATGTGAGTCTACCCATGCGTATGCCCTTGCCTTGTTACGAGGCTTTGCCTGCTGAAACTCATCTCCCTCTCCACCCCCGGCATGAACGTAAGCCAAATCTAAAGTGCACATTCACTGCCCCGCCGCCTCATCGGGCGGGGCGAGTATACATACACCTGCTTCCCTCGGATGGGCTCAAGAGGACGCGGTCCAACTTCACCGCACTCCTGACCGGATCTAAGGGAGCGTGCAAGGCGGATCGCAGCAAGAGGCTACACTACCTCGGCACACCCTTCCACCGCGTCGAGACGGACTTTGTGGTCCAGGGCGGCGACGTGACGAGGGGCGACGGGAGCGGCGGTGAGGCTGTGCATGCCGGAGGGTCATTCAAGGTCGAAGTCGAGGGGCTGTATGTTGTCCTGCCGTCGTCTTCTCCCCCCTCGATACCAGTCGAACGAGGGGATGCTAGGAGTCGTTAGGCCAATAATAGCTGACTTTCTCGTCGCCGCTCGCTCTTCGCACTTCGCGCGTCCAGGAAGACGGTCGCGTCCTACGGCAGCCTGGCCATGGCTGCTAGTCGCAAGGACGTCAATACGTCGCAATTCTTCTTCCTGCTGACCGATGCGCCATCACAATTGGCAAAGGTCCAGGGCAAGTACAGCGTGTTTGGACAAGCGCTCGTCTCGTCCCAACACCTCCTCAATCCCGGTCTGGCGGACGTTCTCCGCTCCCACAGTCTCGACCCAGATCAGGTCATCCGCGAAGGCGAGGCGGTATTCCGACGGTTCAAGCATCTGGCTTCTCCCGATGGCAGGCCGAGGGAGAGGGTCTGGATCGACGAGTGCGGTATCCTCTGACCCTGTCACATGAAAAGCCGAACACCGTCGGTCCGTGGTCAGGGGCTGTTCGTGCGGCGTTCCGTTTGCAGGGCCGGGCCAAGGCTTAGGATGGGAGCAGTTCGACGGGCATTTGCAGGAAAGAGGCAATTAGAGTCACGAGGTATCTTTTGAGCAAGGCAATGTGGGGAGGGGGGGGGGGGGGGGGGGGGGACGGGCAGATTTAGGCGTGTGGATGGCCAGCGAGTAAAAGGGAAAACGGGGGACCGGGGTCGATACTCCGGGGAACGCGAGACCGATGAGATGAATCGAAGTACACCGAGAAAGCCCCCCTGGCCCTAGTCGAAGTCCTCACCGACGTTGCTGTCAGTGTCGTTGTTCGACTTGCCAGACATGACGGCCTGTGCGCCCGCTGCTGTCGGTGCAGCAGCGAGGCTTAGGTTGTCGAAACAGTCGGCGTAGAGCGAGTAGCTCGAAAACACGCTATCCCGGTAGCCGTCGCGCATCCGCTTGGCGCGCGGACGTGGCTGGTTCGCGGCATTTACCTCGAGGAGGGCGCCGGCTGCATCCGGTGGCGGCGACTGCGCTGCTCCAGTTTGCGCGATCGCAGAAGCAGTGTCGTCGTTGGCGCTTTCGTCGTCGCGCTCCCGTTCGTCGCTGCCCGCGGCATCGTCGTCATTGTGCCGGCGATCATCGGAGTCGGCAGCTTGCGGTTCTGCAGGAATGCATGGATCTCCGTTTCGCTCAGTCGACGTCAGCAAGATGTCGGGCAGTCCCTCGGCGGATGCATCCTCGTCGGGGACCGAGGGCAGCGGCGAGGCTGGGGAAGACAGCTTGCGGGCCATCGGCTGCGAGCTCGACACCGGGGACAGGCCATCGAACCTTTCCAGCGGTGTGAGAGGCTCGCTATCGCTGCTGAAGCTGCGCTGCATTGATGCGCCGCTGGCCGCGACCGTTGACGTATCGCGGTCGGGAATGCCCCGCAGCTGCTGCAGCTGATCGGCGCCCAGCCCGAGGCCTCCCAACATGTAGGTATGCCTTCTCTGCGCGGCAGTCGTGCTCCGGCCTGACGGCGGATCGGTAACGTCGGTTCCGCCCAGTCGATTACGCCGATCGAGAGAGTCAGGGTCGCCGTCCTCATCCACCGCCGTCGGTCCCGCGCCCTCCCGGACTGCGCTCGGCTCCGCCGACAAAAGGCTTGTTGAGGTGTCCACCGCTGCGGTCCCAGTGGCTGCATCTTGCTCGACTCCGGATCCGGTCTCGACGTCGACCTCGGGTTCCGGCTCGGGTTCGAAGAGCCATTCGTGCATTGTGACGATGATCTTGACGATGTGGGCGGCCTTGCCGATGTTACCAAACGACAGCGCGATGCTCGACGGTCCCGGCGGGGGATTGAGCAGCGAGGTGCCGAAGACAAGCCCGATGTTGTGCGGCGCCATAAGATTGTACTTGCCCTCATCTACGACACGGGCGAGGTGCTCGGCGGTGCGGCGGAGGAGGTCAAAGTGGCATTTGGGCAGCGCCCAGATGATCTCACGGATGGTGCTGAGCCGCTCGTCGTGGTTCTCGATGCGCTCGGCGGCAATGATGGCGTCGTACGATGCGAACGTGATGACGGGCTCGGGCAGGTCGCGGAAGAAGTGCTTGATGGCGCCGGCGATGGTATTAACGTCGCTGTACTCGCCATTGGACAGGTCGATCGAATCGAGCGGCTGCTTGTTGAGCGCGTTGCGGAGGCCTTCAATGGCACTCTTGGCTCCAGAGATCCGGTAGATTCCCTGCTCACGGAGACCGCGGGCCTCGATCTCAGCAAACATCTTTTCGACCGCCATGGGCACTGCGCTGCCCTCGCGGTCGACTATGGCGGGAAGCGGAACGCCGTAGAGTGGCGCCACAGCGGGGCCTGTTGGAGGTAGAAGAGGCCAGAGACGCGCGGGCGGCGAATAATGGCCAGGAAGGTCAGCGTAAGCTCTCGGATCGAAGCATGCAAGGCAACGGAACGAGGCAGGCAGGCGTGGGCTCGCAGGCTGCGATCCAGTCGCGCGACCATGGTCATAACTCACTTTGCGCACCAGACTTGCCGGCAAAGCCCTTTCGCGCCTCGGTCGGCCGACGGGGCGCCCGCTCCTTTGCGATCCGGCTGATCTGAGTGTACCACTGGCTCATCTCGGCCTGGCTGGGAGCTTGGAGGAGGTACTTTGCTCCTTCCTCTGACGTCAGGTGGAGCACAAAGGGCCTCTGCGAGTTGTTCCACGGCGCCAGCTGTGCACCTCCAAGGCCGGCAACGAGGGAGGGCTTCTGCGTGGGCGTCAGGCGCATCAACTCGTCGACGGTGCGGACAGGCTGCGGATCGGACTTGTCTGAGATGAGCGGCCGAACGGCGCGGCCGAACAGAGCCGTCATCCGCCTCGCGCGGATGGTCGTTTTGTCCGCCGCCGCTGGGGCCGCAGCGTTCGGAGCAGCGGTGCCGGCGACGCCACTGAAAGCGCCGACCACGATTGGGCTCGACGCGCGACCCGAGCTGCGATCGCCCGACGCTGGCATACTCGAGAGGCGGGAAGAGATCGAAGGGCCAGTGGCCAACGTCGCTTCGAGGGAGGCCAGCGCGCTCCGGTCGCGGCGCATCTTCTCCTGCTGTTGTCGCGAGAGGCCAGCCAACGCTTTGCCCGAGCTGCTCTGGCGAATGTTGGCGTGCGGGCTGATCGGGGTCGCTTGGCTCGCCTCCCTCGCGGCATCTTCGCGGAAAGCGCGGCGATCCCAGGTGACGTGACTGAGCGCTGTCTGCATCGCCTTGAGCCGTGCACCCGCGAGATCGATCAAGGCTGGGCTGTTGCACGGCGGCCTCACGCGGACGGCGCCCTCGATCAGGCTCCACACCGTTCTACGCTGCTCAAAGTCGATCAGCCCGACATCGGCAGCGTCCGACGGCGCCGAGGCTCGGGTGGCCGCCTCTGCGAGGCAGCCGAGTATCCAGCCAACATCCGGCGTGCTGGCACCGGATGAGGCGACGCGCATTGGAGGCGTGACATCGAGCGGGAAAAGGTCGGCCAGGCTGTCGCCTGTGCCGCTCCTGCCCAGCGCGACGCCCTGCCAGGCACGGAGGAAGATGCGGCTCTCGGATGACGTAAGGCTGCCGAGGATGGCGCTCTCAATGAAGGAACCGATCGTCGCTTCGCGGAAGGGCATCGAGCTTTCCTGGGATAGCGTGATGCCGCTGCCGCCGCCACAGTCGTCGCCAGCGCGCAGTCGGGCCATCCGTGCTCTGCAGATCCAGACGGCGTCGAGCAGCTTTTCCAGCCGAGCCTGGCGTTTCTCGACACCGAGCCCGCGTTCGATAATGTGAATCGCCACCCAGCCGCGCAACAGACTCTGCGCCGCCAGAGCGTCGCGGACGGCGGCCGGCAGACGTTGCTGAAGCGTCGGTTCTCTGCCGCTGGAGCCGGGCGTCCTGAGCACGTCGAGGAGCGAGTACATGCTGTTGATCGGCTTGTCGTCGTCGCCTGGCTGGGAATCGCTGTGGCGAGCTGCGTACCATCCCGTCGGCTGCAGCGCCTGCCGCTCGAACAGCTCGGCGACCACGAGCAGGTCGCGCTCGACGATCTTGTCGAAGAAGACTGTGGCGATCGACTCGAGAAAGTCGACGAGCTCCTCGCAGCCGATGGCGTCAAAGTCGACGTCGACGGCATCGATCGACCCGGAGGCGTAGACCGGCGTGGCGAGGGCGTAGCTTCGTTCCTCGCCGCGAGCATTGGCGCTCATGATGCTTTGCACGAACATGCCGTTGATCTGAGCGATGGCGAGCGAGAGCCTCGCCTGATCCGGGTCCTCGGCCAGCGGCTCCATGCCTGGATGACGGAGAAATGCGTGGACCAGCTGGTAGAGCGCGTCGTCGTCGGCAAAGTCCTGGGGGAAGCGGTCGATCCAGACACGCAGCGTCAGGACCACGCCCATCCGGATGCGGGAGACGACCTCCCAGTCGATGGGCTCGACGTGGCTGCCGGCCGGGTTGACCATCACCCAGCTCGGGAACTGGCTCGAGATCTGGTAGGTGTCGAGCAGTGCCATCTCCTTGCTGGCATTGATGGCGGTGGCGAATCGCTTCTGCAGCTGTTCGAACAGCTCGCGAGGGCTGCAGAGGCTGCGGTAGGTTGCGAGGAACGTCGACCGGTACGACTCGAGGTCCAAGCTCAGCCTGGTTCGGCGAGGCGCGGCACCCTCGACGGCATTCTCGTCTGGACCCTTGACGTTGATGTGCTGCACGCCCATGACCAGCACGTCGATCATCCGCTCGAGCGTCGCCGCCTTGACGACCACCTGGACAGGGACGACCACCTCGATGACCGAGCTGCGGTTCGAAGCGGGCAGGCTGGAACGCTTCGAGACCTGCGAGAGCGGGCGCGAGGATCTCCCGAAATCTTGGGAGAAACGCTTGGCCGCCATCGGCGACGACGGGACCGACAGGCTAGGTTCCTGGATCGGCTTGAGGACGAGCTCATTGCCGATGCGGAAGAGGCCAGCACTGTCCTCACCCACAGCGGAAGGCCCTCCAGTCGGGTTCCACTCGTAGATGCCGCCAAAGATGGCGGATCTACTGCCACGGAACGGCAATGTCGGGGAGAAGGCAGACGAACGCACGAACGGCGAAGCGTTGATGCCGGGGCGGCCCAGCGTCCTCGCCGTGATGGTAGCGTACGGGTCGCTGATTTGCTTGGCCTTGCGATCGGCGCCTGTCGCTACCTCTTGGATCTTGCCGACGTCGAGCAGGCTGAGATGCGGAAGCGGCATGGGAAATAGCAGTGGCACCTGAGAGAGGTGAGCAGTCGCGGCGCGGGCGGCCACGGCAGCGGGGCCGGGGATCTGGAGGTTGCCGAGCGCCTTGGGCTCGAGGCGATAGGAACGCGCCATCAGGCTGGACACGTCCATGACCGAGCCCGTCGCTTGCGCAGCGAGCTGAAGGCAGAGTTGGTACTCGACGATGGGATCCGCAACGGCAGCGATAGGGATCGGCGCATCGTCGAGTTGCCAGGTCGATCGCCAGTCCCGAGCCAGAGCGAGGAGGGCCTCGCTTTCGAGTGCTTTGCCGGCGACTTCTTGACGGTCCCCATGCGGCGGCGGATCGGATGCGGGGCCAACATCGGCCGACTGAACGTCTCTTCGGAGCAGATGGGCTGGAGCGTTGCCTAGGAAAGGCAGCACCCGCAGCGTTCTGCCCGGCTCGACCTTGACGAACGCATGTTGCCCCTCTGTCAGCAAGATGGGACGCACCTGCGAGTGGATCCCCTCGATCCACGCGGCCTTGGCCAACTGCGGCGCCCATTCCCGTGCCACCAGCAGGCGGTCGCCTTCCGCCAGATACCGCCAGGTCTGTTCGAGACGCGTGACAGCACGCGAACAGAGAGCGACGACCACGGCAAGCCAGCCAGGAATGTCGCCGAAGGAGAGGAGGTAGGAGGCGATGGCGATCCAGTGTCGCAGCAGCGACGCCCGGTGGCGTGCGCCGGACTGGTTGAATATCGCAGAGGTACCCTGCGTCTCGGCGTCGGCTCCTCCAACGAGGTGCGAGAGGACCAAACGCGTGAGGTAGTGGGAAGACTGCGAGTCGAAGCTCAACGTGGTTACGAGGGCGTGGTGATCCGGATCGATCATATCGAGGGCGGTGGCACCATGGCTCGGCTCCACCAGGGCGCCGAGGCGATTCGCATGGAAAGCCTGAATCTGCTGTGCCACCTCGAGCGGGTCCAGTTTGAGCAGGAGGTCGCCCGTGATGGCCCGCGCCGCGAACATCTGCTCAAGTTCCGGCCTGGTGCCGTTGAGTGTACACGGATCCGGGTTGAGCCAGTCCTTGACCGTAGCTCTCGCCTGACCGGCCGGGGTCGGCTCTAGCGCCTTGATCGTCTCGGCATCAGCTTCCAGCCGCTGAGCGAGCGATCGCAGCTGGGATACGGCATCCTCGAAGACACGGCGGGATCGCGTCACGCCGAGTTCCACCGAAAGCTGGATCAACCGGCTGAGCCTCTGCCGCAACGATCGCGAGACATTGTCCTCGGGGCGCTCCAGCTGCGCTGCGGCCAAACGCGAGATCTCGCCCAGCAGGGACGCGGGGCCGACCTCGGGCGAGCTAGCGGCGGCAGACACAAGTGCGGTTACGGCGAAGGCGTCCGTCTGTGCTTGCACCTCGTCGGCCGTGGCCGACGCCGACGCCTCGCGCAGAGACTCTGGCAGCTGAGTAGCTCGGACGAACTCATCGGCCAGAGCATCGAGGGTAGCGCTCTGAATGCGGTCGATCCAGCGTTTCGGGGCTTGGGCTACCTCTGCAAGCGACAGCGCCGGATGCGCACCCGCGCCAGCCCATGCGTCGCTGGCATTGACCCGGACCGCCGTGGGTGGCGCCATGGGCTCTGGCTCTGCGGTGAGGACAACCGTCGTCGAGCTGTCGCCGCGCACTGGCGTCCGCCGACCAGGGAGACCCTTGTAGCGGAGCGGGCCGAACGAGGGCGAGCTCTGCGCCGAAGAGCCATCTTTGTTGCTCGAAGTGGCCAGGAGCAGCTCGTTTTTGCCAAGACCGCTGTTCACGAGGCCGTTGGCGTCGATGCCGAGCTCGCGCGCGTACGAAGAGCCGGATGCCTTTGACGGGCCGGACCCATTGCGGTCGTGAGCACCCCAGGCCACCGTGGTGGGAAAGAGCGCCTTGACATCGTCCGAGACGCTGCTCGGCGGCTTGTAGAAGTGGAGCTTACCATCTTGCAAGACGACGCGGTACGGCTTCCATCCCTTGGAAATGTCCTTTTCCTTTTCACGACCTTTGCTGCCGTCAGTTTCGGTGAGCTGCTGCAGCGACAGGCTGATGTGCGTGTTCCTGCCGAGGAAGCCCTGAAAGACGGCGCCCGGAGGCAGGGGCACCGGTTCGCCCGCATGCTCCGAATTCTGCCGGGTGTTGGGCGACTGCGGGGTGGGCATAGGGCGCGTAGCAGAGGAACCTCGGAGGTGGGCGGATCAGAAGGGTTGCTCGCGCCGTCGGCACATCTAGCTCCTTTCCGCCTCGCTGCTGCCGCGGCTGCTTACCGTTGTGCCTGGTGGGACGCTGCCGATGCTCGCCAGACCTAGAGACGCCGCGAGGGTGCCAGCCACAGCGCCCTTGCCGTGAGTAGTCGCCGCTTCTCGGCCGCTGCCAAGATTGTTGAGCTTCGACGCTTTGCGCGAGTGCTTGCGGCTGTCGGCTTTGCCAGTTGGGGCCGCCATCGCATGAGCAGCCGCGTTGCTCGGTGCAGGCGGCGGCATGATCGGCCACAGTCCGCCGGCCTGATGGCTCGGTGCCGACGAAAGCGGAACATGTTGAAAGGCTGCGTCAGACCGGGCTGAACCCGGCGCCGACCGAGCTTGTCCATCCCGAGCATGATGGGCGCCGGTGGTCGAGTAGGAAGACGGCGACGCGAGCGTCCCCATGTCACTCGGTCGCCAGGCGTCCCCCGTCACGAGACCCTGCTCGCCCCAATTGCCTCCGTGCTGCGGCACAGTCGGGCTCTGATGATAAGGGCCCTCCTGGAGCGAGTTCGGAGTGATGGGGTAGGGCGAAGAAGGCTGGTCGGTGGAGCCGAGATCGTCGACGCTTCTCGAGAAGCCGATGGCCGGGCTAGGAGACTGCAGGTACTGGCCACCGCGGTCGCCGCCCTGCGTGTTCTGAGCGTAGATGAGCGGCATCTTTGGCAGCTCAGTGGTACCGCTGGTGGGCGAAGGGAACTCGGCCCTTGCGTGCAGATCCGACTGGCTCTTGCTGTAAAGTGCGAACGAAGCCGAGCCACCGCTGTCCTGGCGCAGACCGCGTCCGAGCGGACTGTGGCCATAGCCGTTCTTGGACGCTAGCGGCGGCTTTCCGGCAGAAGCATTCGATACCTTGCGATCCCGGCCCATGCCGCCAAAGAAGCCTCGCTTAGTGGGGCTCGAGACCGCGGTCTCGTCGGACATGCTGGGCCGGCTGCCGAACGATGATCCCTGCGCCGTTGTCGGCGTCTTGCCCGCGTGCTGCTCCGAGGTGGAAGAGCGGGGGACACTGGATGTCGCTGCCGGGCCTGGAACCGCCGAACTCCGGCCGAGCGACGCCATGGACGGACCGTGCGGTGCGGGATACTGCTGCTGCAGCTGGCGGTGGTACTGGAGATGATTTGTGCTGTCGATGAAAGGGTCGTCGTGCTGTCCAGACAGTGATGAGAGTGAATTGGATGTGTTCAGCGTCGAGGAGCTGGAAGAGGACGAAAAGGGCATCTTGGCCTTGCTCAAAAGGAAGTTGAAGGCTGATTGGCTCCTGCCGATCGGTTGCTGTTGCTGCTGTTGTTGCTGCTGCGACGGCGGCTGCTGGCCCGCCGTTTGCGGATTCTGCAGTGAGCCAAATGGTGGAGTCATGATGGCGAAGCTTCTGATTCTGTCGAGCTTGTTCTGAGACCGGGACGATCAGCTCTCTTGGTGCGCTGCAGCCAGGCAGTGTCTGGAGGGCCAGCAGCAGTCGATTCGGAGCAAGTGGCGGGCAAGCACTTCGATGCAGCACAAAAGAATGGCCGTAAACGGGGAATAGATGTCGAGCGATCAGACGCTCCAACAATCCCCGCAAAACTGCGCTGTTCCTCGCAATGTCCCGGTGAGGTTGCACGAGAGAGCGGCCGCACAGGATCGGATGGAGAGTCGCACGGACGATGTGGAACGAAGGTTGGAGATCGGCGAGGAGTACGACGGCGGCGATGGCCAGGACCAGGGCGAGAGCGAGGATGAAGGTGTGGTGTCCGGTGATAGGTGCGGCCGGTTCTCAGCTTTCGGCGTGGTCGCTCCTGGCAGGGCTGGAAAGCCTGCCGCTGTTCGGTGCGGGAAGATGGCGGGAATCGGGCGATCGCTCACAGCTGCTCGATAGACCGCAGCACGGATGGAGGGCTTTACGAGCGCGTGGCGCATGCGGGGTAGGGCCAGGCGGCCCAGTCGAAGCGTGTGCTGCTGTGTGCTGGCCTCGATGGCGGGCCACGCGGATGTGCGGGGTTGCCGCCGGGACGACGAACGGGCAAGCGCGTGCCTTGATTGGTGTGCGTGAGAGGTTCAAGCGGTACCTCTACGGGCTGGACATGCCCGAGTGCGTCAGTGTCAAACGAGTGTGGGTGGGCACCAGCTGCTGTGCCGCTATGGACGATGAGCGGGGAGGAAGCGCTCTCAGCGGCGGCGGCGGCGGCGGCGGTGGCGGTAGGCGGTAGGCGGACGTTCGCAAGCGGGTGATGGTGATGATGTATGGCGGCGACGGCGCCCGGCAAACGGAGAAATGCCAACGCGTCAAGGGTCGGCCAGGCGGGCGGGGAGTGGTTGCGGAGCTGCGGGAGCAACAGATGGCCAGGGTAGGTGTAGAGCTGATGCTAGGCTAGGGAGAGGAGGGACGGGCGATGTGATATGATGGGAGCGCGATGATGGTCGACCAGAGGGAACCAAGTTGCTGGCTGCCAGGAAAGGGTAGCTTTTGGAATCGCCCGGCCTGCCTGCCTGTGCTTGCCTGCTGCTGCCTGGAGTGGGCGGCGTACGTGTATGAAGCGGGTGGGTGTGCTGGGCGTCGGACGTACGTGCGTGTGACTTTGTCGAAGGCGGGCAGGCAGCAAGGGCGACCGGCAAGGGCAAGCCTAAACCGAAGGCCAGGCAGGCCAGGCCAGGCCCAGCTGGAGCCAGTGCGTCCAGATGGCCCTCCGAGCGGGAAGCGGGGGGGCGCGTGCGTGCGTGCGTGCGTGCATGCCCGGTGGCCAGCCACAGCCAGCCAGCGATGCTTGCCTGCCAGGCGTCTTGCACGCGGCGACGCGGCCAGAACCTGGGCCTGGCCTCTGCCTAGCCTGTTCGGGCGCTGAGACAGCTTGCCTGCACTCGCAGCCCCCCCTGTTCGCCTGGCTGCTGGCTTGCTTGCCTGCCTGCATGCTGCTTGCTTCTTCGCCTGCCCACTCGGCCGCACCACCTGTTCCCTGGGTGCCGACCGTCCAGCAAGAAGGGGCGGGGAAAAAGAGAAAGGCAAGCAAGGTTGAAGCTACGCACGGGCTGTCCTTGGCCAGTCAGTCGGCCCCTCAGCTCCCTTGGCCCAGGGGTGGCTGACCTCGCGGGGCGGGCCGACGTGACAGCTCGCCGCCTGCCTTCTGTGGCCAGGCCGTATAGCCAAGGAACCAAGGAAAGGTGCAGGTCAGCCAACAGCTGCTGCTACCTTCCCTAGCGGCGTTGACGTTGGCAGAAGGGAGAAGTCGAGGCCGTCGGGCCACATCCACCATGACCCTGCCTAGGCCCGTCTGCCTCGTCTCCCCGCCGACGCCGAATCTCGCAGCGGGGCTTGCTGGCACACGCGCGAATCAAGCTGCAAAGACGAGGCGAGGCCCCGCGAGGCGAGGCAGGACACTAGGCGAGGCGAGGGCGGCCCGGACAAAGAGCGATCCGTGCGCGCAGGCGGGGAACAGCCTGCCTTAGCTTTATTTGGGCTTGCTTGCTGGCGCGTGTTCAACCGGCTGCGGATCCTGACATCCTCGTTGTGGGTGAAAAAGGCGGTGGCGATGGCAGAGCGGTCCTGCTGGACGCTCCGCTGCTTTGGGCGGGCGGGGAGGTGGACATGGCGGTTGCTGCGCCCCCTGCACAACGTCTTCGTTGCTCTCTGCTAATCGTCGCCCCTTCCCGTCCGTCGTTTACTTCTGGAAGGTGCTTGATTCTTGATTGCTGGCGACGAGTCGGGTCGTCAAAGATAGAGAAAGAGAGAGAGAGGCCTCTGGCCCTCGACAGACCGCTGCGAGCTTTCTCTGACTTCGAGACTGCACCGCCTCGAACATGGACGACGCAAGGGCCGGTCTGACCTTCAGAGAGGCAGGGAGGATCAGGGAATGCCAGCCCTCGTCGGTTCGTGACCACCTGCCGCGCTACCGCTCCAGACACGCTCTTGACCTCTTTGACCCGGATCACAAGCCGGCGTCATCCTAGCCTGGCGGTCTCTGAGGTGGATGCAACGACATGGCAGCTTCCTCGCGCACTGCATTGCAACCAGGTGAGCTGTGTCTGACGCTCAAGGTGACCTGCTGCTCGAAGGGCGCAGCAGGCCGACCGCTCGAATTGCGCGGACACCGTTCCCACTTCCGTTTAGACGTAGCTCGCTACCGCCTAGTCTTCATTATCAAGCCTAGCCCTAGTCTGTCTCCCCTGCCGTCTGGGCCTGGAGGTATGTCCTCCATGCGAGCCGATTGGATTGACAGATCGACGTGCTCAGTCTGGCCGATGGCCCGTGGCGGCGCGACGTCGAGCCTTGGTCCGTTCGGCCAGGGTCGTTTCCGGTGCCGGCGCCGCCAGCCTGGAACCACGATCCTCAGCCCCGGTCTCTTGGACGAGTCCCGCCTCCAGAAGCACCTCATCGGCATCGACGCCTGGCACGAGCGTCTCGTCCCTCTGAGCTCGACTCTTCGACGGCGTAGCAGACGCAACGAGCTCGGGCAGAGCAACGCGGGGCGGGGAATGAACTCCCGGCAGCATCTCCTCCTTCTTGACGCCATCATCTGCCGTCCGCCCCGACGGACGGGCCAGAAGCGGTCCTGCTTCTTCCACCCGTTCCTCCTTCTTGGCGGCGTTGTAGGTGGCAAACGAGCGCAAGTCGGCGGTGAAGAGGACCTATCGAGAGGTCGAGCGTGCGATGGCAAGCAGAGTAGGACAGTCAGCCTCGTGGACGGCCGTGAACTCCCATCGTGCGCGCCGGTGTACGCACCGAATGAGCCCAGCCGGCATACTCGCCCCACAGTTCGCGGAAGCGCTGGGCGATGTCTTCGTACCTCTTTGAGCGGATCGAGTACCACTTTTCGGCAAACTGAAAGACGTGACGATCTACCGGTATGCTCGAGGGCTGGTCCAGCGACATCAACAGAATACAGCTACGAGGGCGGTATCGGGCCGTGCCACCAAGGTTCAGTGAGCGCCTTGCTGACTCGTTCGTCGAGCAGCAGCTCGTCGGCGGTTCACTCAAGCGGGCTCATCTATACTCACTCGGCGACTTTGGGGCCTATGCCCGGAAACTGGAGCAGCTCTTGCCGCGCTTCGCTGTAGCTGAGTTGCCGGAGAGACTGCAGGTAGGAGCGCACCGAGTGCGGGGGTGGGGCGTCGACGTGGCCCCCGCTGACAGCGTCGCCTTTTCCCTCTGCTGAGGCGGTGTCCGCCGCGTCGGCTGAACGTGACGGGGTGCTGCCCTTGCGTCTCTTTGATGGTGATGGCCTCGGAGCGCGATCGACGAGCGGCGCAGGCTCTTGACGGGCAACGCCTGCCACCTCGCTCTTGTCCTCGACCTTGACACCATAGTCCCAGCGTCCCTCCTGTTCTCCGTCATGCGAGCGCCGATGCCGGGCGCAGAGCATGCGGGCGGTCGAGGCGATGTACTTGGCCCGGTAGCCGAAGCCGAGCTCGCGCAGCTTGTCCTCGACGCCATCCTCGGCCAGCCTTTCAGGCGCGGGAAATGGATGAAAGTGGACCGTGACCGACGTCGGCTGCACCTCCTCCTCAACCCGGGCTGCGACCGGATCCGACGGCGGGATCGGACAAGGAGGATAGGTGTGAGAGACTAGAAGGGGTGAAAAGTGGGTGCAGAGGTTCTGGACCATCTGGCCGATGCGGGCAATGTTGTTGTTGGAGCTGCAGATGAACCTAAGCACCCCTCGCCGGCGACGTCGGTAGGCCAAATGTACAGCCGGCAAGCACGTCAGAGCGGGCTGGCGTGGACCTGGGCTTGGCCTCGAGCGAGCATACTCACGCGCAGAGGCACTCCCACGGGTCCTGACGAAGCATGCGGAGGCCGGTGAAGCGGTGGGCGAACCGGGCAAAGACCTTGTCCTTGCTGGCCCACTCGTCGTAGAGCGCCTCGAGGGGCACCTCTAGGTTGAGGTAGTCGCGCAGCCACCGCTCCGTCTCGCTGTCGATTTCGTCGGGCCGGTCCGAGGAGCTCGAGGCGGGAAGGAGTGTCCTGTGGTAGATGAAGCCCCTCTCCTCGTCCTGCCGCAGCAGCACGACACGGTCCGAAAGGCAGAGTGACCATTCGGTCTGCGCCCGCCACGCTACCGAGTCCGTCCGGTTCGTGGTGGCAGAGTCGGACTCGTCCTCGGAGGCGGTTGCAGCATGGCCCAAGGCCTTCAGATCTGGCTTCCGGTCGACATTGACCTTGCTAGCTGGTCGACCAGGTGATGCTGGTTCCCAGACCTGGATGGCGCGCCACCGGAAAGCTTGACCGCACTTGTTGGACACGGTCAGCGGGAGGAGCACCTGGGAAACCGGGGCGCGCAGAGCCGTATAGCCCAGCGGTGGAAGGGGAGCGAAGACGTTGCCGTGATCGCTTCCGCAGTGTTCTGGATCGCCAGGCTCGTCTTTGAGCATCCTCGGCGAGGTCGGAGCAAGAAGGTTGGCAGCAGAGGCATGTACGGTGCGACGGGGGCCGAAGGATGCGATGCGTTGCCTGAAGGGCAGCAAAAGACTCCTTGATGCGGACGGGGCTTGCATGCGCTTGTTGGAGGGTGCCGGCTCTAGAGGGAGCGAGAGGAGCGAGCGAGATGGCGAGAGACAGAGAGAGAGAGAGCCCGGCCCTGGAAGCTGTGCCCACTGGCAGACGGTCAACGACGAGGGCGAGATCGAGGGTCTGACGGTTGATGCCGACAGAGTCTAGGAGCCTTAATGAGTGTCGGGCATCGAGGTAGGGGGTGGGCAGGCCAGTGAGCAGGTCGGGCCCAGGCCAACCGGCCGTTGCTTCTTGGTCTTGTCGGGGCAAGCAGAACAAGGTTAAGTGTGGAGGCCAGGCCTGGCTGCGAAGAATCGGGGTGTCGGTGGCCGAGGTCCGAATCCCGATGGCCTGCCCTGCCCTCGGCCCTGTCCTGCCTGGCCCTGCTGGGACCTGCCGGGGCGTTGATTTGGTGGGAGCCCCCTTCCATCTGTCTTAATTACTATCATCATCGCATACTCCCTTGTCGCTCGCCCTCGTTTCTCATCCTGCTCTTGCTCTTCGACGACGACCATTTACTCCCTCCCCCTTGGATGCATCGCCGTCAGCGCGCACGATGCGTTTCGGGATAGAGACTTCCTCCTCATCTTCCGAGCTCTCTGCTGACGAGGGCCGCCGTTCCGCTACCTCGCTGGCGTCTCCGGCCACTCCAACGCCGAGCAAGGGCATCCTCCGCAAGGTCGGCTCGCCGCATCTGCGCACTCCGGCATCGACGCCACGGCCGCCTGCTCGCTTCGATGGCGTCAGCCCATCTGGCCCTGCCGAGGCGCCCTCTCACTCCCAGGCCAGACCAACATCGGCATCGTCGCGCTCAAACACGCCCTCCGCCGCGTCCCGGCGGCGCGCCGAGTCCCCCTACGTCCAAGTCGGGTTGCAGGATCCGGCAAACCCTCGCCCGCACGCGGGACCGTCCAGGAGAGCCTCGGCGGCGACCACCGCTGCCCCTCTACCTCCTTGGCTGCGACCCGACCAGCATCTTCGCTCTTTGACCGGTGTGCCAAACGACGATTCCCTAGGCTCCTCGGATGACGATGAATACGGCGAAGATAGCAGCAGCGATGCGTCGTCTTCGTCCCTCACCTCTGGTTCCCCAAAAGAAGCGCCTTCCGATAGCGAAGAGGATGAGTGGCCCGTGGAACCCGGCCGACTCGGCACGGGGATCGCGGGCACGACACGAGCAGCGCGTGCATCGCACGCCAGACGGAAGCGCGACCTGGCCAGAAGGCTACGCCTGGCAAGCGTGGCCGACGACTGGGAGGACTGGGATCGCCTCTCGCGCGAATCCGCACTGAGCCGCGCCACCAGCACCTATGTCCACCGCCTGCGCTCGTACACCGCTCCATTCGACGACAGAACATCCACCAGCAACGGGAGCCCGCTGCAGCAACAAAGGGCAAAAGCAGCCGTAGACAAGGCCTCCCTTCCGCATACCGGTGCGACCTCGTCGGCCGACGCCGATCTCGACGAGGTCCGCAAGCTTCTATCGACGCTTAGCGTGCGGCGGGAGGACGAAGAGCGGAGAGAAAAGGAGGCCTTCGAGGCGCGCAACAGGCTGCTGTGGCAGGGCATTGATGCCAGCATCCTTGCCGCAGAAAAGGAAGCCCAGGAATCGGCGGCCGCGGAGGCGCAGAGGCTGGCGGCAGCGCGAAAAGCGCAAGAGGAAGCGGAGCGGCGAGCCAGAGAGGAGCGCGAAAGCGAGCAAAGAAGGATCGAAGCGGAGAACAAGGCGAGGGACGAGGAAGCGGCCAAGCGCAAGGTGGAAGAGGAAGAGCGTCAGAAGGCCGAAGCCGAGGCACGGCAGCGATCGGAAAAGGAAAAGGCCATGGGAGGCGTCGGCGACGAGGTTCGCAGGGGGGCCGACAAGGAGTACGAGGCGTGGATGGCCAAGATCGGCGTGAGTAGCATTCGCGGCAACATCAGCATCCGCCGTCGCGGGCCGATCTCGCTGACATCGTTGTGACGCGCCGCTTCATCGACGTCTCCGCGCGCAGCACATCAAGCAAAACATCCTACCAACCATCTCGCGCAACCCGGAGCTGCGGAAGCAATGCTTCGCCGCCAAGCGCCAGATCACGCCCAAAGTCGGCCAGCTGACCAACTCGCGCGAGGAGATCACTCGGATTGTGAGTTGTTCCGTCTAGACGGCTGCAATGCCTTCGAAGACCTGCTCACCCTCCGCCGTCCACGCCTTCGCTCTCGTACACGCGCTGTGCAGACCAATGCCATCGGCGCTGTTCTCAGCTCCGCAAAGGCCGCGTCGCCGACGGGCGAGATCTACACTTGGATCCTCAACCATCTCTCCAAGTGCTTGATCCGACAGGCGGAGCAGGAGACGGCCGCCAAGCAGGACACTGCTTATCCGCTGGCGAGAGTGGTCGTCTGGCTACTGCTGCAGGGGCATACGGAGTTGGGCGAAGTGTTGATGGCACGACTCGCGAAGAAGTGCTGCTGGTGCTTGGCCGTCTGGCCTGGCAAGCGCAAGGTGAGATGGCCTCGCGCAACGGGGACGTCAGTCGGTCAATGCTTGTTTCGCCTTGCTGATGGTCAGCGCTCGGCCTTCATCCCTTTTCCCTTGCCTCTTGCTTCTTGCTCCGCGCTCGACTTGCGTGCAGGATCAGGACGACGAGAGCTACCGCAAGGCTCTTGGCTACCGCTCAAACGACGAGAGCAGCGAAAACTACTCGAATCGCATGGCCGGCATCTTCGCTTTCTACATCGCAATCCTCCAGACGAAGCCGACCACCCCTCCCTCTGCGCCGGCGGGGACGATGCCAGACCTGTCGCTGGTACCCGAGTACCTCCGCTCCAAGACGCTCTGGACCTGGAGCGTGCGCACGCTCGCGTCGGCCTCGCCGATTCTCTCGCATCCCTTGCTGCCGTCTCTATGGTCCACCTACCTCGAGGTGGGTGGGAATCGCGCACTTGCCCTCTATGGCAAGCAGATGGGCAAGGTATGGAGGCTCATGCTCGACGAAGGCGTCCGGGGCAAGAAGGCCGGCTTTGTGCAAAAGGGCGAAGAGGAGGGATACGTCAAGGCCTCGATCGTCCGCCTCGAGCTCCTGCTGGAAGGATGGGAAAAGCAAGGCCGCATCGTTGACGCCACGCGAGGCGTCGAGATGGACCTCCCCTGAGATGAGAAAGGACACGATCGCCCGCCCGCCACGAGCGTGTGCTAAGCCTGTATCGTTGGGCGGACTCAGCCCTGTTTTGCGCCCCCTCGCTCTACCCCGATTCTTCCACAGTCCCATCGCCCGCCAATCCGGCACTCGCGAATGCACATCCGGGCGCACTGCCCATCCTCTCTCGCCGTACATCGCCTGCCTTACCGCTCTGGCATTGAGCACAGCGATCGAGAGGCCAGATTGATTGACGAACGCCGTCGCCCATTAACAGCGAGGACGGGGCGAAATCAGCGCCATCTCCGCTCGTGGGCGGATAGGTACGTAGCTGCCACCCCTTTCTTCCTTTTTTTTTCTTCTGTCCAGACCTTCCGCCGTGGTGGCGCGGGTGCCGCTGCTAGTGCCGGGGCGTTCATGGCCAAACGGCCCGCTCACTCGATCCGAGGCTTCATCAGACTCGCCTGCGGAAGGCGGCGCCGCGCGAGAGTGTTGCGCCGCACCGCGCCTCGGCGCCGCGAGCTTGTTCGCATGTGCCCGTCTTGCTTGTCCTTCAGCAGCTGATCAGCGGCGGATCGGGCGCTGTTCGTATCTAGCGAGCCTCTTCCGCTCTGCTCGTGTCCTTGCTCGGCAGGGTTGGCGCGTCTCCGGCTCAACATGGACCGACCGCTATCTCTTAAAAGGGTCGCAACAGGTTCAAGGGCTCGCCCCCATCGCGATCGACTTTCCGCCACTTCTTCCCTCACCCTCTTTTCCACGCACTGTTTGGACAGACTCTGCCGTTATCATCGTGGCACGAGACCACCGCTAGCCACCCGGCTCACGACTTGCGCGGCACGGCCGGACAACGGAGCGGAGGGATGAAGTCGAACCCCTGCGGTCGCCTCCGCCCCGGGGACGAGGTCACCTGGACCGACGACGACGGCGAGAGGAGGTATGGTGTCTTCATTGAGGTGAGTCGTGCACGGAGCCGAGCGCAACAGAGCCGAAACCTTGCCTTTGTCATGTCAAGGCACTCGCTCGCACCTCCCGCTGTTGCTCATGCCAGCCTGTGCGGCCCAACCCTCTGTCTTCCTGCCTGGCGCCAGATGTCGACACCCCACCTAGCAGAGATCGTCGAGATCGACACCGGTGCCACGGTAAGCATCGAGCTTGTATCTGGCATAACTACTGGCCAGCGCAGACGTTCGTTGACCAGCTTTGTCGCGCCACCTGCTCCTCGTGCGCCCGCGGCATCCCCACTCCTCTCGTTGACCGCACCGCTTCTGATGCGCTCGCTACTCCTGCAGTTTGAGGTGCCCATCTGCGACCTGGCGATCTCGGCATGAGCAAACGGGTGTGGCCGCCTGGACAGGCGCTGGTCATACTCTCCCTGACCATCGATACGCATACATCTCCCGGGTGGCGCTGATCGACCTAGCCTGCCTCTGCGCCCTGCCCGGGCGCTCGCCCGTCCTCGCATCGGCGCAGTATGACTATCAGGCTGGGGTTCGGTGCTTTCCACCTCATCCCATCGAATATGCACACAGACCTTGGTGTGGCTTGCTTGTCTCTCTCAGCGCATTGAAGAGCCGGTATCCAAACGAGATGCGCTGCAAAGAAGGTTGACGTACGTATATATAGCGCCCTGCTGCTGCTGGCCCTCCGCTCCGGACCGGACGCCACTTCCGGCGACCGACGGCTGCGAGCTTTGACCGAGCACTTCCTGCATGTGTTGCTCTGCGCTTGCTTGCGGCAGATGGCCCTAGGCGATGCATGGTAGGTCGCGGACGGACAGCGTAGCGCAGCCCGGGAGCCGCCTGCCTGCAGCCTGTGGAAACGGCGCCTGGTGGCCGGGACCGGGGCTGCTCGCCACGCGTCCTTGGTGACGCGCCGCAGCGTCTCACGCCCCGTGCATGGCGGCACGAGCTTGCTTGGCTCCTCTTCGCCCAGTGTCTCTCCCACTACTGAGCACTGTGTGTAGCTTGCAGGGGACCGTCCGAGCTCTACAGTAGTGGGTCAAGAAAAGCTGCACTACTGGCGCCAATCTCCGAGCGCCACTACTCTATTGCAACGGCATCGGGGCAAATGACCAACCACCGGCCCCACCGGTGCGTTGATTACGCCCCTTCCTTCCAAGCTTGACTACCCCCTCAGAGCCTTCCTTAGAGCAAGGCTCCATTCGGTCGAAATACCCGGCTTTTGTCCTTGCTCGCAGGGATGAGCGTGCACGAGAGCTTCCGAGCCAAAAGGTTAGAGTTCGCTCGCCAGCGCAGCCCTCATCCTCGTACCTCTCTAGCTGCTCCGAACAGCACCGACTAGGTTTAAGAGCAGCACCGGTCCGTCGGAGGTTGGAGAGCTTCATGTGAACCACCTCTACCTGGTTGCTTTGCTTGAGGACGTCGTCCGGGCAAATCTGCGCGGGCGTTCCGGGCAATGCGCTGGGCGATTGAGACACACTCGCCGCACTCCAAGCTCCGTGCCTTTGCTTTGTGGCCCACTCTGCCCTTGGCCTGCCGATGCTCCGGGTCACCTTCACCACCGCCTTCGATCTAGCGATCTCTGGCTCGCTGCGCAGTCCTCCCTTCAACTGACGACGACGAGTCCGGCTGGCTCATCGCATCCTCCGCCCTGCTACGATGGCGGGCGACCGTCCGCCCAACACGCGAGACTGGGCTCCCAGCGACTCGTACCGCACTCGTCCACCTCCATATGAGCATCCGCAGCATCGCGCTCAGTTTCAGAGTCCATCGCATCCTGGGGCACTCCATCCGCCTCAGACAATGCATCTGTCGACCCCCATGGCCCGGCCATCCGCCCAGACGAGCTGGAGGTCAGAGCTGAAGCCTCCTTCGACTCAACAAACGCCGCGCACTCCCGAACCTCACCCCTCGTTCCAGATCCAGCTCGCCCCCATAGCAAGCCAGCCCGACGCTCGATCGCCCTCTCGAGATCGACAGCCGCCGCCGGCAGGCTCGCCATCCGCGCTTACGAGGCCCGACCTGCCCTTTTTCTTCACGGGCCAGTTTGTCTTCTTCTGGGAGGACGACCACAAGGTCATCTGCATTTTCGTCAAGGTGAGCGGCAGAACGACTGCAGAACGACTAGAGCCAGCCGGTTGCGGGCCTATGCGTGGACACGCAAAGCTGATCGCTCGGCTGTTCTGCTCTCGCGATCAGTACCTGGACGGAGACTTTGTCAGACTGAGGCAGTACGGCACCGACGTCCTGGTGAGTAGGTAGCGACTCGAACGACGATGGATGGGAGAAGCGGCTTCTACAGCTGTCCGCGCGCCAAGACGCTCTCCATGCCGTGCGTGGCCATCAGTCGAAGGCTGGCTGACATCCCTTGGTCGGGCCTGTCTTGCTGCTGTGCTTACAGCTGAACGCCAAGGTCTGGGGCCTCATCCCTCTCAACTCAGTCAGCCATCCGTAGCATCGGACGACACTTCCGAGTCCGGAACTACCTTGCACCGACCCCTTCGTCGCGCCTGGTCTGACTTCGATGTGGACCTGCCGGATGAGCTGCCCAGCATCCCTGATGCGCGCCCGGGCGGCCTCCTTCGGCGTTCTCAGGGCTTTGCATCCCTCCTTGCCTCTAGCAAAGTTACGGTTCTTGCGCAATGTAAGCTCACGAGCTTTCGAGCTAGGTAGACCGCACCGAGGCGGAGGCATGGCCGCCCAGCGGCGAGCGCAGAAACCTTGTTCTGGCGACGGCCGAAATTGAGGTCAGCTCGTAAAGGAGCGGCCGGAGGGACGGGTGTCCGTCTAACCGGCCCAAGGATCATTCCCTCCCTCTCGCCCTTCACGACCATCGACTTGTCGCCGTTGCCTTCCAAGCCATTCGTAGCACTCTCGGCTTCTTTGACGGTTCATCGGAACAATCGAACACCTCGTCTGCCCGCTCGCAAAAATGTCGCTCGTGGCCGGAACCAGGGTCAAGTGGTTGGACGACGAGGGCAACATCCAATACGGCCTGTTCCTATCGGTACGTTCCTGCGGTCGCTCCATCGCCGAAGGCATCGTGCGGCGCAGCCTCGCTCAGCCTCTGCATCCCCCGCCTCCGGACCGTAAACAGTACCTCGAACATCCCTGGGCAAAGGTAGAATGCGACAGCGTCGACGCGAGCCTCGCCCTTTGCTGTTCCCTTTGCACAGCCGCACAGACTCCTCCCGACACTTGGCCACCCCTTGCCCCCATCCCTCCCACTGCAGCTCATCATCAACCGTATCCGCCTCTTTAGGGTCTCGGGCGACCTCGACGGAGGCAACGCCAGGGACTGGTCATCCGACTCCGAGTCGTAGCCCGCTGTCTCGCTCGCCACCTGCACGCTGCTTCCCCTCGAACAAAGAATCCAAGCGAGAGAGAGAGATATCATAGCGGGCAGAGCATCATCCTTGCCCCGGGCATGGTCGAAGCGGTAATGTGAGAAGGCCAAAAAGAAAGACGCAAAAAGATCGACCATGGGCGGGTTCGAACCGACGACCTTGACATCGCATTTATAACAGTGTCACGCTCTGACCAACTGAGCTACACGGCCGGAATCCAGCTGTGCTAAATGGGAATTGGATGTTCGAGCACGTACGTTATCCATTATATAGTAGATGTAGCTTTCGCTTGAGGCTTGGTCTGGCAGAAAGCATCAATGGCAGTCCAGATCCTGTGTATTCCGGGCAAGCCAGAGGATCTAGTAGTAACAAAGGTGTTGTCTTTGCGGCATCAGGAATCTTGCCAAAGCTGTCGAGGATCGCAGCTCTATGATTGCCAATGGTAGAGGCCGCTCACGTTCAGCACTTGATGACCCCCCGGCACGGTTTTCCGAGGTCGACGAAGCATGCAATCGTGTCGCCATCCTCCATGCCGACGTGATGAAGGCTTTTAGGAGGCTCGAGTAGCAGAGTGAGAACGAGGGGCTCTAGCTTTGTCTGACAGTGTCGCGCTCGGATCGCAAAGATGTTGCCGCGGCGCAGATGTGCCGCGCGAGCCCATCTCGAAAGCACAAGCTGCTGGAGGCGATACGCGGACTGCCTCGTCGACAGCAGCGACTGCTCCCAGCACGGCGGAGCGAGGCCGGTCGGCTCCACGGCGGCAGGCAGAGAAGGACAGCGAGCCATGTTGCGTTGCAGACCACCGTACGACGAGGCCGATACTTTTACAAGGTGACGAGTGACACTATCTTGCTATCCAACGGCGAGTATGATCGGAGAGCCGCCGATTCAAGAGAAAGAGGGAACTGGAGGCCACGTACGGTAGAGAAATGAAGAAGCGGGAGGAGGGTGAGATGCGGCGTTGCTCGATTGCGCTCGGTCCACGCTAGAGAGCGAGACCGTAAACGACCCTGTCACCTCCTTCGATTCCCATCGGCAGGTCTGCGGGATGCGAAAGGCGATGGCTTGACGCGACTTCGGCAGCATGCGAGCGGGCGGGGCCCAGGGGCTCAGTCGAGACGCGGACCATGCCGAAGCCACCCTGCCCCGACGATGCTTGTCGCTCCGCGAAAACGCCGTCGCTGGATTCCATCGAAGGGCTCAAGCACTCGACGAGGTTGGCCAGCTTGGCCCGATCCGATGGCCGCTGCGACGAGTTGCGAGCCGAGGGGGGCGGCGATAGAGGCGGCGCAGCGTCCAGCATCCGGAAAAAGTCGTCTGAGCTGACGTGCTGGTAGCCCGTCATCGACGTCGTGTTGGCTTGCAAGGACGCGGCCACGACGTTGAAAGCATCCTTCGCGCCTGTCCAAGGGGGCGTGTCTGGGACGGTACCCCCAGTCGCTCGAGCTTCGCCCCGCCCTGCACTAGATGCACGAGGCTTAGGAATCGACGGCGATGCGGAGTGCGCCCGCACAAACGACCGCTTGTGCAGTTGCGGTAGCCCCTTGATGGCGGTGATGGCAGGGGCAACTCCGTGGTGGGTGTCGCTGGCGTCGGACGAGCGGCGTGATGCGGTCGGAGCGGAGGCGGCAGAGCCTTTGCGCGAATGGACAGTGCTACGCAGCAGGGCGCCTGGAAAGCAGCCACCGTCCTCCGAGCCCGGGGTAGGCAAATCGGGCAGCGGCGTCGCTGGCGGTGGACACGGAGGTGGCGAGAACGGCGATGCGACATGCAGTGCCTTGGACAGGTCCGGGCTCGGCAGGGAATGCTTTCGCGACGATGACGACGACGTCGCCGTCGTCGAGGTCGTCTTTCCGACAAGCGCGAGGTGCAGGGGAGGTTTGGACCGTCTCTCGCGCAAAGGCGACCTCGCTGGCAGCAGTGGCGGCAACGGGGCTATCCGCAGCGGTGGAGAGGGCTCTGTGGGGTACGCCAACCGATGCCTGATCTGCCCGCCGGCTGCTGCGGCCGCGCGGAGGGATCCGTGCGAGTGGCGTTCTCGAAGCGTCTTTGGCGGCGGAGGAAAGTTGAACTGGCTGAGGTCCAAGCTCTCGGTCGAGAGGAGCGAGGGGATGGTCACCTTTTCGCCATCCTTCGCTCCTTGTGAAGATGCACGGGTGCCTGTGCCGGTACGACGGCGGTCTGTCGATCTTCGGCCGCTCTCTGCCTCCGCATCGGTAAAGACGTCCCTAAGGCTCGAGGCGCTAGATTTGGATCGCCCGCGTAGAGACTTGCTGCCTGAAATGCCTCTTCCATGGCCTGGCTTCTTGGACGCAGGGCCCAAGACGGGTGAACAGAGCATCTCGACAGTGTCGCTGGTGGGAATAGCGAGGCTGCCAAGGCCGGGCCCCCTCAGGGCACGCCGGGCCTCGGGGATCCACTGGAATCGTATGAGAGCGGCTTCAATGGCTCGCTCCGCGTGGTCCTCGTCATCATCGTCACCGTCATCTTCGTCTCGGCCGTCTGTTCGGAGCTGTTGGTGAGCCAACGTTACCGGCTGGATGGCCCGTGGCAGGGGGGCTCGCGGCGGTGTCCGCCCTGTGGCTTTGTGGGCGTCGAAGAAATCTGAAGTGGTTCTGCGATGCTCAAGGCCTTTGATGCTGTCGGCTGGCCCTCGTTCGGCTCCCATCGCGAAGCACGTCCTGATCTTGCCTCTCCCGAACCCTGTTGCTGGGTCAAGCGCCGACAAATCTTCTGGAAGTAAGGCAGTACGGTCCCGATGCGAGCCGTCAGCTGGCGGTGCGATCTGTAAGCAGTCTTGTGCGATGACAAGCCCTTGGACTGTAATGTCCTGCTCGAAAGCGCTGGCTTGCGTCGTTGGACGGGCGGTTTCGTCTGCTTCGACGAGGCTGAGTGAGCGTGTCGAAGTGAGAGGAGGGCTGGGAACCGCCTTTGCCATGATTTGATGTTCGAGTGCCAGTCTTTGTACCTCGTCTCACCTGGCCGATCCCGGGGTAGATGATAGAGGTGCAGGAGGCCTCACAGCGCGCGTTCGTCCGGACTCGGAGGCCGGCGACAAGCCGTCCGTGATGGAGCGAGAGGTACGTGGCTCAACCAGAGACTTCTGGCAGGACCGGGTGGTTTGAGGGGAGCCAGAAGGAGTAGGCGGCACCTTGATTCTGACGATGAAGAGGTCTTCTCACACCGGCGCTACTGGATACTTTCTTAAAGGCGTTGGTATCGCAAGGCGTGATGGGTTCCTCGTGTGACGCTGCAGATCGTGCGAGGTAGATCGTGGGTTGGGGGAGGGGGCGGGTGTCACGGCAGAAACAGAGAGGCGCAGAGGGAGGTGGAGTGGGAGGGAGAGGTGCATGTCAGAGATCAGAGAGAAGCTCAGATGTTGGGTTGCTTCTCATGAGCGTGAGGTCTACGTCTGACGCTGCAAGCTTGTTTACGGGGCTCCCAGTCGCCTGGCTGAGACATCCCTCGCCGCTTCCATGGTCCAACTCACCTGCGGCGATGTACCGGGATCTGGTCTTTAGGATGATGGAAAGGCTGGGTGCCTCTTGGAGGCCGCACTCGCGCCTCAGTGTTGAAAGGCGAGCAAGGCGAACGTCGTCGAGAGAAAGCAGTGGCAACGATGGCCACGCGATGTGAAGGAGGGCCGAAACAAGAAGGCGGATGGGTGGGTGCGTGCAGGTTGTCGAGGCCGAGTGCACCGAGTCCTTGGTCCCGATTGCTCCAAATGCCGATGACTGTCTCAGCCCGAGCCCGGTATTGGTAGCGCGGTGTTGGAGGGGAGGGGGCAGGTCGAGGGGCAAGGATCTCTACGGCCGGCCGAGGACGTCTTGCCTATATGTACGTGGCCATGTAGGGACCCGCTCTCCGTGGTCCCGCAAAGGGCAGCCACCGATAGCAGTGTCATGCATCTCGGCCCATCTCATGTGGGCTGCATAGCCGGCTGCAGAACAAATAAGCAGTAGGTGAGGCGATGATGCCCTGCTGCGTGGCTGCAGCTACCTAGGTATATGTCGATGTACAGCTAGTACTGTACGAGGTAGGACCACGCCATGGTGCCGTGCTCGCCGGGTCGGGTGGCAGTCGTCCCTGAGCGTGGTACTCCGAACGATATGGTCTATAGAACTGCTCAGGTCGCCGACGCGGGGCTCAGATTGCGACAGCAGCACACGAGGCACGCAAGGTGGATGCAGAGGCCATGTAGATGGGTAGGTGATTCGACGCGTGCGACGGCCAACGCGACCGCAGCGGATCGCACTTTAGGTGGGTACCAACCTGGTCATGCCCGAGAGACGAATTGACACGTTGAGAGATCAGACTCTGCCTCGATCGCAGGCGGAATGCAAGCAGAGGCGGCGCCTCTGACAATGCAAAGACACGAGAACGGCAAACAGACCATTGTGAGGCATCAGCATGGCGCCTTTGGGGGACGCAAGGGATCGCAGGAGGAAGCGCCGCCGCCGCCACTGAACGCCGGACGTGCCCATCGTTCAGGGGCGGTACCCGGAGCTGTTTCGTGCCGGCGATCAAGTGACTGGATGCACGATAGGGGAATGTTTGTACAGTTGTATGTATGTAGGAAGCCGCGCTTCCATGACGAGTACCAAGCAAGCCAAGCCAAGCTGAACGGCCAGATCGGTGCGCAGGCGCCGTTCTTGCCGATTGATAGGGACCATCTCAAGCGGCCTGAGGTCGCGTGCATGACCGCGCGGCAAGGCCGGCCAACTGCTTCGAAGACAGTACGTCTGTGGGTGCTGCGATCGATGTGATGAAGCCAAGTAGTGTGGCACCATGCCGTGCCGAAGTTTCAGCTTGTCGTGGTCTGGTCCCGTCGAGGCGGCTTGAGGACCCGGCGTAGGATGACGGAGTGTGGTGCAGTCGCTGCGGCGGCCATCGAGAAATTAGAAAGTGGCGGAGGGGGGGAGATGGGGATGGTCGAGGAGGAATGCGATAAAAGTCGAGCGTGGTACGACGTCGTCTACATGCCTCGGTATGGAGCTGGTGCCAGGCACCGCATGTTCGCGGGCGGTGGTGTCGGTGGCCGGGCTGGCGGTACCAGCGGTCCCGTCGGATTGTCCAGAAGCTGGGCTGTGCTCGCGAGGCCAGGTGGCATCGGTCAGCCGCCTCTCGCCTTTGCTCGGCTCTCAGCCTCTATGTGCCAGGCGACGTGATTCGATGGCAAATTTATCGAGTCGCCTCCGGTTCAGCAGGAAGCCCGTTGTAGCAACGAGCAGCTCTAGTACCAGAGTATCATCGAAGTAGCAGGTAGGGCCTTGGCCAGACGATACGGGTGCCTGCCTTGCTGCTCGAGCGCGGAGAAGCCGAAGTGGAAGCTGGGATGACCACGTCGACAAGCAAGCTAAGCAGCCTTGGTTCGTCGCTGAGAGGCGCCAAGGCGGGCAGGCCGAAGCAGGCAGGCCGCGGCCGGTACCGTCGTGCTGCAGGTCGTCGCACGGGCGTGGGGCATGTCTCGCCTCGGCTGGCTTGCTGCTTGCTTCTCACGCTGCGCTGCGCTGAGGTTTCGGCGACGCGAGGCCAGGACCCTGGACTGGCCAAATTGGACACCCACGGCATGCGCCTTGCTTGCTGGCCAGACAAAGGAACGGAACGCGCCGCGCGTGCAGGCCCAACCCATCCTCGCAGGACCTGACCGAACCGACGCCATTCCAGCCAAGCAGCCAGGCGACCTGCCTCTACGGGCGAGTGCGGTGCCTCTGAGCACCGCGTCTTTGCCACGCGGCGATGCTAGTGGCGTCCGTCCGCGCTGAGCGGGAAGCGCGGTTCAGCTTCATCCCCATCGGGACTTCCGATGGTCCGGGACAAGCGGGCTCGCGTCCGCGTCACGTATGCATGTCCGGCTTGAGCGATCGCATCATGGTTGCTGGGCCTTTAACTTCTTCTTGGCCTTGGAGAGAGTGTGGTGGAATACGGAGTTTCGGGACCGAGCCGACGCTGCGAGCCAAGAGCTCCAAGGCTGAGACAAGGCGAGGACGACAAGGGGTTGTCGCTGTGCCGTGCAATGCAGTACTGTGGCCAGACTAAGAGAGGGAAAGGAGGGTGATGATGGGGCTACAGAGAGGATGAGGGAGCGGGTAAAGAGAGAGGAGCGAGGCAAGGGAGCGTTATCGGGGAGAGGTCCGGGGCGGCCTGGGCGCGCGGAACCTCGATCCCCGCAAGGACAAAGCAACGGCCGGACAGATATGCTACACAGGGACACGACCAAGGGAGCGAGGCGCGAGCTGCGAGAGAAAGAGCGAGGGAGAGAGAGAGAGAGGCGCAACGAAGGTGGGGCTGCGACGTGAAGAAAGCCGCGCGAATGCGCTGAGTCTGGACGCCGAGCAGATCTAGGTCGGGGACAGAGAGAGGAGAGAGAAGCTGGACAGGGAGAGAAGGTACGAAGGCGGTGCGGCCTCATCAATGGCAGCCATTAGAAGGCGTGGCCGCGCTGCAGTTCGATCGAGGTGGCGCCCGCGCCATCGAGGCCGGATTTTTGGATGTGCACGACGACGACGGCGACAACCTCTTCGTCGACGGCCGTCGCGGTCGACTCGATGCTCGAAGCTCGAGAATGCCGCTTGTTGCGCCCGGCGGCGCCGCTCGAGCCAAGCGCGGGGCTCGGTGGCGCCTGCTGCGGCGTATACACAGGGCGGGCCAGGATGGCGATCCGCAGCGAGATGGGCGTCGGGCCGAACTTGGGCGGCACCGTGCCGCTCAGCTCCTGCATCCGAGAGTCCCAGGTGAGCCACTCGAGGAAGCTGGGCCGCGTGTTCCAGTACTCGACGTACTTGTCGTCCTGCAATACCGGTGTATAGTTGAGCCGCCGCCCGCTCCTCTTGCCCGGGGAGTCGGGCGCTCCGCCCATGATGGGCGGCGCCTGCGAGGCAGAGAGCACCTTGACCCGGATCAGCTCGCCGGGCGTTGCTCGGACATGCTGCTCAGCCTGCCGGTGTCGCCCACCTTGCCCGCTCATTGAGCTCGGTCGGCGGCGGTCAGGGGCAGGGGCAGTGTCGAAGGGAAAGTCGAGGGCTGCCTCGGTGTCGGCGCCGCCGATAGGGAGCTGCGGCGTTGGAGGCAGCGGAGCGATCGAGGGGCGGACGACGCGCACAGTCTCTTCGGGCCTGACAATCGTCCGCTCGGCGGGGCCGTCGTCGAACCGCACCGCGCTGATGTCGGCACCGCCTAGGCCGGGCATGTAGCTGGTGCGCTTTCCCTGGTCGGCAGACGAGGCTTGCTCCTGTTCTCGGCGCAGCACGTCTTCGACGTAGACAGGCTCGTCCTCGGCATCCTCGAAGGCGGCCACGCTGCTGCTGATGTCGTGGTCCATGGCCACGACGCGGTGGGACGTGTTGCGCTGGCCGGGCTGGATGGTCACCTGCTGTGGCGCAGAGACGGTGCCCGTCGATTGCACCTGCACCTTGCGAGCGCGCGTGACGACAGCATCGACGTCTCCATCCAGCTCCTCGTCGATAGTGGCGCTTGTCGTCATGTTGGCGAGCCGGTGGCGCGAACGGTTGACGTCGTGATCGCCGTCGGCCTCTGTCGGGCGCGTGTCGAAGCCGTGGCCGAGGTTGAAGGCCGGGCTGTCGTTGATGTGAGCGTTCCGGTGGCGCATGGGCACCAAGCCGCCGCGGCGGACGGGCACCTCGGTCGGTGATTCGGACCTCGAGTCGCCGCTGAAGATGGAGATCGAGACGGATCCACTACCTGGCGTCTCGGCACGCTGGCTGTGACGGCTGCTGGCCCGCGAGCCGTCATGCATCCAAAGGTCACTCTCCCAGCTGCTTCGAGCATGGCTGCGAGAGTGGCCTATGGGCAGGTTCGGGTCGCCGTAAGGGTTGTCGCCATCGACGATACCCTCGAGTCCGAGACCGATGCTGCCCGCAGCCTGCGCGTTGCGGTGGGCGCTGTTGAATGTGGCATCCCGAACGAGGCTGCGGCCCGACTTGGACTTGACCTTGAGGAAGCCGAGAAGCTTCGACTTGGTCGGGCGCTCTTCCTGCGTCGGCACCGGGCCCGTCGCCGGCTCCCCCACGTTGTGCATGGTGATCGAGACCTGTGAGCCGCTCTTGCCCATGTTCTCGCGCGACACCTTGGACGAGATGATGCCGCCTCCGACGATGCGTTTCTCCGAATAGGGTGAGTGTCCGGCGTGGAGGTAAGGGCTGGCATCGTCGCGATGCTTGGCTCGGCGCCATTTCTGCATCAGCGGGCTGGACTTGGCACCGAAGACCATCATCGGCGACTTGCCCTCGGTCAAGGTGCGATCGTCGTCGGCAGAGGTGTCGAAATCGAGCTGGCGTCCGTGCGTGTCATGCTCCTCAGCCGCGCACGTGCGACGGCAGCACATCATCAGCAGGACAAGGAGGAAAATGCCTCCGACAGACCCCAGCGATGCGGCAAGCGCAATCTTGGCCGAGCTGCTGAGCCCTTTGCTTCCTCCGACATCTGCGTTGTCTCGCCCCCCGGGCTTTGTGGAAGGAGCAGGTGCGGCACGGTCGGAAGACAAAAGCATGAAGCTGGTGCTGCTGACACCACCACCGGCACCGTCGGGGTTGACTGCCTGCAGCGTGACTCTGACCTTGGCATCCTTGAGCTCGGCAGGCGCCTGACCGGAGAGGCTGGGGCCCTTTTTGTCGACATTGATCCAGTCCATCGCGCTGGGAGGATCCAGGGTCACATTGACGGGGGGGCGGCGCTGGTCGCCTCCGGCGCGAATGTACTGTGCGAGGTCCACTTGGAAGCGTTTTCCACTCTGCACGGAGACGTCCGGCAGTGTCGAATCAGTGAACGCGCTGGGAAAGACGTTGAAGGTCAGGTTGGTCTGCAGGGCGTCGTGGTCGGCGTCCTTGATCGAAATCGGCACCATCAGTGTTGATGATGTATTTCCGGTGGTGTCGACCGGGGGGGTACCCTTGATCACGCGAGAAGAGGCGTCGAAGCTCATCCAGGGGTAGCTTGTGGTATCGAGAGCGACGTCAAAGTTGGTCTGACCAGCTTGTTGCCTCCCATCGATCAAGACTTGAGGCGGCTCGATCGTGTGCTCGAATGCTGATCCGGCGGTCGCGTTGACTGCACGCAGCGGCCGGCCAAGCGTCAGGGCGCCTGCGCTGACCACGAGCACGACCGAGCTGCTCGCGTCGCTGTATCCGTCGACGGTCGAGGCTGATACCACGACCTCAAAGCTGCTTCCCTCGTTGCCCGGTGTGGTCGGAGCGACACCCCAGAGCGTCAGCGTCGGGTCGTAGTGCAGCCATCCGGGCAGCGGAGCCCCGGTGGAGAGTCGGGCCGCGGTGCGAAGGTTGCCAGAGGGAGAGGTGAAGGTGTCGCCGGCGAACCCAAGGCTGAAAGACCAGCCGAGAGGTAGGTGCTGCTCGCCGCCAGGCAGTATGTTGCCAGGAGACAGGCTGCTTGCTTCGGGCAGTTGCTGTGGGAGCGGCTTGTTGAGGGAGGCGCCACGGCCCGCACGGGTGACCAGGTCAAAGCTGTCGCGCGCCGATTCACCCCCTTCTTCGGACGCTACAATCGTCACTGTCGCCGAACCTGCATCGCTGGCTCGGGGGCTGCCCGAAATAGTCCTCGAGACGCTGTCGAATGTCGCCCAGCTCGGGAGGCCCTGGGCGTCGTACGAGATCGTGTGACCGACATTGTCGGTGGTGAAGGTGTCGGACCCAAACGACCACGAATAGGGGCTGTCTAGCCTGGCGATCCGGGGCAGCTGGCCTGCGATCGGGTTCCGCAAGGTCACGTCCGCTAGTGATCCGGAAACGAGTAGGAGAGCCGACAGCGCCAGTCCGGTGCGTATTTGAGACGTGCCGGGCCTGCAGCCCAGAGAGCTGCGCATGCTGATGGCCTTGTTTTGACGCACAAGGATTGCAGTTTGTCGGTCGTGCTGACTGCAGCGAGTGGAATGGTGCTGGGCGGGTGACCGAGTGTCGCCTCGGAAGAATGAAGCCGTCGGACCCTCGCTTGAAGTGTCGAGCTTGTCGGTAGACGCGTGCAGTCGGTGCGGTGGCGAGGGTAGCGATGAGGTGGCGACGAGACACAAGAACAGAGCAGCGAACAAGGGATAGGCGGAAAGGGAAAGGCAGGGGACGAAGGGGGAGGAAGGGAGAAGGGGGAAGGGGAGGGGAGGGGAGGAGCAGAGAACGCTGCCGGACGGAGCGTGGCGGGGAGGGGAGGGGAGGGGAGCGGCAAAGGAGACGGAGTGTGGATGGTGGTGGTGGAGAGGAAAGTAGCGAGAGGCGTCCGGGAGGAACCCCGTTCAGGAGGGGCCAAGCTGGGTGAGAGACGTTGAGGAAGAGTGTCCGGCCGGGCGTGATCCCAGCTGCGCCTGAATCGCCGTTCCGTTCGCGACCATCGTCCATCACGTCGCGAGCGGCCGGAGTCTGGCAGGCCGGGCTAGTGGTGCTCGTCTCGTTTCGGTGCCGGACCGAGATGGGACGACGTCGGCTCAGCAAGAGTGTCAAAGAAGGTGAAGCATGGCACGCCACCTCGACGATGGCCTCGTGAAGCCGGAGGGATGCCAGAACGGCGAACGCGTCAGTCGAGCCCGAAACAGGCCACCTTCCAGATCGAGCATGGATCGAAACACGCAAGGGGCAAGGCAGCCGGACAAGAAAGCTGCAGGCGGGCGAGGGCGATCCATGCCGTGATAGACGAGCCCGGAAGTGCGCGTGAGCAGCTGTAGTCGCCGGAGGCAGCCTGACATGCATGGTCCGGAGCCTCTTGCGACGACGAGGACCAAAAGAGGAAAGACAGCCGGCGCTGCCTGCCATTCTGCCGCCGGCGAGCCGCGCGAAGCTGGCGAGCCTAACGTGGTTGGCAAAGCCACCTAGTCCCCTGGAAGGCGTCCAGAGCAAGGCTTGGGCTCGCAGAGGCAGGCGGGCAACACGGCGGCCACCAGAGAGGCGGGCGTTGCGCGAGGAGATGCTGCTCTGTCCTGGATGCTCGTTAGGGCGCAGGCGTGCGGCGCGTCTGAGCAGGCCTCAGGAATGAGACGGGCTTGCAAAGAGCATGCAGGCGGAGGGGGCTTTGGCCGTAGGCTGGCACCGCGTCCTAGAGTCAGAGTCACCACTTGGCCCCTACTCTGGCGCTCTCTGACCACTTGCGCCTCTCTTGGATCCCGGTGCGAGGCGCGCATGGCGCGGATTGTGAAGCATCTGGGACAGGGCGTGAGGGTGAAGAGGTGCCGGTGCCGGTGCCGCGACGAGCGAGCAGAGAGGGTGGCAGGCAAGGCAGCAAGACTTCGCTGAAAGTGAGGGATGGAAGCAGACCGTAGAGAAGGAGCGGCAGCATGAGATCGGCAGGCGAGTTCTGGCAGGTGCACGACATGCCTCTGCAGGCTTCGACGTGACCCCTGGCAGCCCAAAGGCGCGGATCTTTGCAGACAGCAAAAGGGGACGCCCGGCAGGGGCAGGGGCAGGCAGGCAGCAGGCAACCTTCAGGCCGAGGCTGCAGCATGCCCAGGCAGCCCAGGGTCCAGCTGGCCCTCGGGGCTTTTTTCTGTTGTTGGTGGAGCGGCTGGCTTGGCTGGCCACGCCGCGCCACGCCATTCTGGGGCAAACCCGGATCCGACAAGGAGAGCGGCTCGTCCAAAGGCCAACCCACGGGCCACCCTTTTGCCCCGCCTCAGTCTGGCGCCCCGTTTTGGAGCGCTGGCCTGGGCCCCTTCTTCTCCACTACTCTACTCCCCACGTCGACCTTGCCCAGCCTCTATCTGCACCAGCGACTCTGTTCACTCGCAGCACAGCCTGGGAAACCCCTCCACGATGTCCACGAAACAGTACAAGGCGGCCGGCGAGGATCTCTGGAAGAACCGGACCGAGAAGATCGTGAGTGCGCCCGCAGCAGGTCGACCGCCAGCCATGCCTGCGGTTGGCCCCCGCCCGCTCATCACCAAACGTCACTGACCCGGCTGGCTGCTTTGCGCGCGCCTTCTCGAATTCACGGCGACCGCAGAATGCAGAGCTCTTCACCCTCACCTACGGCGCCCTGGTGGTCCAGATGATCAAGGACTACGAAGACTACGCAGAGGTCAACAAGCAGCTCGAGAAGATGTGCGTGGCTCGCTGCTTTCCCTTGCCATCTCGTCATCGCTTTAACTCCTTATCGTCAATGCGGCTGTTGTCGACAAGGCTACTGATTCGAACTGCCTTCCACATCGTCCACTTCCGAATTTGCATCTACACAGGGGCTACAATATCGGCACGAGGCTCATCGAGGACTTCCTCGCAAGGACCAACATGACGCGCTGCTCCGATTTCAAGGAGGTCGGGGAGGTGGTCAGCAAGGTACGCTCTAAACGTTGATGCCATGATGCTCGCGCCGACTGTGGCATCCAGCTGACCTCGACTGCCCCTCCGCCATCCTGCTCCGCTCCCCTAGGTCGGCTTCAAGATGTTCCTCAACATCACACCCAACGTCGCTCATCTCTCTTCATTGGCCTCTGGCGGTACAAACGCTGGCGCGTCCAGCGAGGCGAATGCGGCGGCGGCGGCGACGACGGCAGCGGGGGTCATGGCGGGGACAGCAGCGTCGCAAGCCGGGCAAGAGTTCAGTCTGACGTTTGACGAGAACCCTTTGGCAGAGTTCGTCCAGCTGCCTGACGATGCGAGACAGGGCGGCCTCTGGTTCTCCAACGTGCTGGCAGGAGTGTTGCGCGGTGCCCTCGAAATGGCAAGTATCAGCCCTCGGCGGGCCTCGTCCTTAACCCACGATGCACCTGCTGACCATCGCTGCTGCTGCGGCCCGATTCCTCTTGTCGGCATGTCCTCGTTCTGGTTCGCCCTTCCCTCCAACCCCCCCCCCCCCCCCCCCTTTTTCCCCCCTCCATCCAACAGGTCCAGATGCAGACCGAGTGCTACTTTGTCTCGGACACGCTCCGCGGCGACGAGACAACGGAGCTCAGGGTGCGACTGCTCAGGTATCTCGACGAAGAGGCGCCCATTGCGGATGATTGAGGCAAGAGGCGTCGATGTGCAATGGCCAGAAAGCATACCCACCATCCTCTCCTGCCTTCATTGCGTGCCGGCCCCGGGTCCGATTACCGGGTGTAGCACGGCCCTGCAACCGGGCGCCGTTTCCGTCCTACCGTGGCCAGCTCGGGGGTCAGGCAACTCCAGCAAGGTTGCTCGACTCCGGCCATCCGACGTCGCGGCAGACGGCACCCTAACCTTGGCAGCTAGGAGCATCATGCTCGCTGTTGTATGGGCACCGACGCATCCGTCTGGCCCGAGGCCGTCTCGGTGGAGTAGGCAGGCTACGACGGCCCAGGCTGAAAGGGCGGCAGGATTACGCTCACGCTCTTGTGACCACGCTTGGTCCAAGGAATCTTCCGGAGGCCATGGCACACGGCATAGCCGCAGGACGCACCACGCTTCCTTGTGGCTCCATGTCGACGAATCCGATCAAGGTAGGGATGAGGCTGAAGGGAGGCTAGCTGACATCCTGGTATATAGGGGCAGGTCCGGGCCGCCGATGGCGAGATACACACATGGACCGATCTGGCCTGCTCTGCCGGGCGACCTTGCTGCGTTTGTGGACATAACCGGTGAGCATGGGACGGAAGGGGGCCGCTGAAGGACGTTGACGACGATCTAACCTTGCCGCTGCGTTGCGCAATGCTCTGGACCAGACACGATATGTCGACGCTGATGCCATCGAGCACGGCGGGATCAATCCGATCGCCGCCACCCTTTGAGCCAGGGGACCGGGTGGTGTTCTGGACGCGCCTCGATGGACGAGTGGTCAAGCTCGAAGGGCTCGTCATTGCAGTGAGTGCAGGTGGCCGTCGGTGACATCGAGAATCAACAGGCTGTGGCGGACAGAAGAGGGATGATGCTCATCCAGCTCTGCCCCAGCGTCTCGGCAGGTGGAAGACGAACAGGCGGACGTGCATACCACGCTGGGCCAGCGATCACGAGTGGTGAGTGAGTCTCGAGGGACGCGCAGCGTGGCGCCAAGGGAGGCGTCGAGAGCGGGAGCTGACTTGGACCCGCGGGGTGAGCCGCTGCCCGAGCACAGGTGCAAGGCGTGTCGTTTGTCAATATTGTCGCGTGGGACCAGGCCATCGTGCTCGGATTCGTGTCGTACCACTAGCGATGCGCGTGTTTTGCTATGGATGGCATGTATGGCAGATGCTCTGAATGTGGCGCAAGGTGTGCCCGTTGCGGAGGAGGATGGTCAGGCCGGCAGAGCGGCGTGGAAGTGAGCCCGCCATGGCTGTGGCAATCAAGCGGGCACTGGGTGCAGTCGAGGAGGTGTGGGCGAGCGAGGTGCGCGGATCCGAAAACCTCCAAGGCTGGCGGGGCCGCGTAACCTCTGGCCTCTGCTCCACTTTGGGTGCGGGCTGGCGGGCGAGCCAGGGCTGGCAGCCACTCGTCCTCACCCCGTCCTCCAGCCCAGCTGTCTCTCCGCTCACCGTTCACTCACGCCGCCACACTAAGAGTGCCATCATCAGAAGCATACACCACGCATCTCACCTCTTCCTTGCTCTGCAGCCTCCACTCGAATCGCCCACAGACCCCCTCACGCACCCACGCCATGTCGGCCAATCTGCGAGCGCAGCACGATGCGCTGCTCAAGTCCTTTTCCAGCTCGGCAGACCTCACGACGATCCGCAGCCAACTCACCAAGCTCAAGATCGCCCTCACAGAGGCCGGTCTCCTCGTCCCCTCACCCGAAGCAAAGCCACAGGACCTTGCCCTCGCGCGCGACGTCCTCGAGGTAGGCGCCTTTTGCAGCATCCGCGCAAAGGACGTCGAGAGCTTTGACCGGTACATGAACCTCTTGCGCGCCTTCTACAACGACTATGCGTGAGTATCCTGCCCGCGCGCTCGTCAGCTCATTGCCTCTGCCGTCTGGTTCTCCTCTGACGTGCCTTGGTTCATCGCTCGTCTCGACACGACAACAGGTCCGTGCTGCCCGCCTCGCAAAACCACCAGCCCCTGCTCGGCCTCTCGCTCCTCCGCCTGCTCTCGTCCAACGAGATTGCCTCGTTCCACACCGCCCTCGAGACGCTGCCGCCGGACCTGGTCCGCGACAGCCCTTACCTTCAGCACCCCGTCAACCTCGAGCGCTGGCTCATGGAGGGCTCCTACTCCAAGGTGTGGAGGGCGAGACAGCAGGCGCCGCGCGAAGAGTACAGCTTCTTTGTCGACCGCCTCATGGGCACCATTCGGTACGTTTCGCCTGGGACACGAGCGTCGGCATGCTTTCCCGTTCATTCGCGAAAGAGGGTCCAGAGTCTGCGGCTGCACGATGGGCTGACCGCGGTTTCGCTGCTCGTCATCCCGCCCCCCGCTCCTCCGTGTCCGATGCTCCCGGCTCGACAGACACGAGATCGCATCGTGCGAGGAAAAGGCCTACGACAGCCTACCTCTCAGCGACGCCGCGACGCTCCTCTTCTTTGACAACCTCCAGGAAGTCCTCAGCTTCGCCAATGAGGTGAGTGTGCGCCCCCCCATCCCCCTCGCATCGTTTCATTCCGCTCTCTGCTCCTCCCAGGCATGCTGACGTCCAGGTCCCCTCTCCGCCTCTTGCCCATCGAACAGCGAGGATGGCAGGTCAACCCTTCCACCCAGGTCGTCCACTTTTCCAACGCCTCGTCGGCCAGCACCCACACGATTCCCAAAAAGGCCACCATCTCGACCAACCTCCAGTTTGCAAAGGAGCTCGAGAGCATCGTCTAGACGCAGCAAATGCACACGCGCACACACACTCCTCGGTCCCGTACTCGTTCCAGTGTCCTTCCACCTTCGCAATGTGACAACCCTGTCCTCGTCCGGCCTCGAACCTGTCCCGTGGCCTGGCCCAGCGCTCTGATGGTTCCGCCCTGTCTTCGAGCGGTGCTGTGCGTACAGGAACAGGCATGCGCAGACGTTCACGGGCACACAGCCAGCCGGACTGACGCACGGACGCACAGGCGGACAGACACGTGGACGCTGTTGGCGTGACATGGGACGGCATTGGCGGTGGAAGCCCCAGCGGCCACGGTGCCATCGGGGTATTGGTAAAAGTACACAGCCCTGTGCCCGTCGCGGGGCGGGCGGGGGAGGGCCAGGTTCGTGAGGTGAGAAAGGAACAAGTGGTGACGCTGGGTGAGAGAAAAGGGGGCTGGGACACGCTGATAGCGGGGGGAATGACGATGCTGGCGGCCGTAATCATGAGGGCCGCGCGGTGGAGCGGTGCGTTGAGGAACGAGTGTCCGTGGAAGCCAGAGAGAGAGAGAGACGGGAAGATGCGGTTCGAGACTGGGACCAAGTCTAGGCCGAGAGAGCCCAGCGAGGCGGGCAGAGGCTGTTGGCCATCATTGGCCGGCGCCAATCGACTGTCCGCCCCCGTATTGCGGCGACGACAAGCCCGATCCTTGGGAGTCGACGCCGCTGCCGTTGCTATTTGTGGGCTGGAAGCCATTGACCAGCTTCCTCGGCGTCAGGCTCGAGCGGTCCGCCTGTTCGCCCCCCGTCCCGAACTGCAGGCTGTATCCGCTCGACGAGCCTCCGCCGCTGGCCGCATCCGAGGCCGGGAATTGAGCGGGCGGTGAGAAGCTGGCGCTCTGTCGCTGATATTGGCCCGTCCAGTCCGGCTCGGCGCGCTCGTCGTCGGCTTCTGCGATCCTGTTGGAACCCTGCTGATCCCGTGCGCGCTCGAGCTCCGCCTGCAGCTGCCTCGCCAGCGCGCTCGACTCGACGGGTGTCTGCTGTGGCGTGTTGGCCGGTGCCTGGGCGAAGCCACCGAAGCCGTATGAGCTGGTGCTCGAGCCCTGCGAACCGACCGAGCCGGGGCCGCCGAAGCCGACGGGCGGCGAGCTCTGACTATTGAGGAATCGAGCATCGAACCCGCTACCGCCGCCTCCTTGGTCGTTGGACATCGACATAGGGGATCGGCCAAAGTTGGAGCCGGATTGCTGCTGGGCATAGCTCTGCCATGTCTGGCCGCTCTGGCCGCGCGATCCCCCGGCCTCGACGCTGCCAGAAAGCATGGCGACATCGCCGTCGAGCGAGGAATGCGGCGGAGGGTAGGCACGATTGTCCCAGCGGGCGTTGGGCGGTCTCCGGCTGCTGTTGCTGCTCTGGCTGGCGTCGGAGTGTCCCGGGCCGAGCGCCTGCTGCCCCAGGGTCATCTTGAGGTTCTCCCTGATCTCGTTGAGGTCATTGCCGCGATCGCCGGCGTGGAAGCCATGCTGCATCGAGCCGATGAGGTCGTCGAGGTTGAGCGCCATGGTGAACAATCGAGGGAAACAGTGTGTGGAGCGTGAGGCGGTTGAGGGACGTGAGGGCAAGATGCTGCAAGTACGGAGCTATGCAGCGTGGTCGAAAGGCAGCTTTGGTGGGGATCAGACGCCGGATGAGCGGGCAAAGGGGGAAGGCGAGGGGCGTCAAGCTCGACCGTCTTGCTCAAGGTGAAGCTCGCGTGAGCCGATGCAATTGCCGTACGTGAGTAGTGTTGGCTCTGCGGGCTAAGGTTTTGCTGAAGACCAGATGAAGGCCAAGCCGAGGGTGACGTAGGCTGAGGCTATGCAGGTTTGCTCTGGACCCCAGATTATAAGAGTGCGAGGATGAGGTGGTGTCAAGCTGCTCGAGGTCGAGCAGGACAGAAGGCAGTGGTCAGAGGAGCAGACGACTGGCGTCACGTGAAGGAGAGAGGGAGGGGAGTGAGGGAGGTCCAAGTAGGGTGATGTCGTTGGCGCTCGGAGCAAGGCGAGGCAGGCTCGCGTAGAGCGATCCTGGCACGATGCAGCGGTGTGTGGGCTGCGGTCAAGGGTGGTGGCCAGAGTATGAGGTGGTAGGGTAGAGGCTGCGACAGCGTCCGACAGCGAGGGATTGAGATCGAGGAGCCGGTCGGTCGTCAACGGCTGGACCGGCAAGACTGGCAGGAACGGTGGACGAGACGACGGCGTGAGTGACGGTGACGGTGACAGTGGCGGTGGTGGGGGTGGTGGCGGTGGTGGTGATGAGGAGGACGAGGAGTAGGAGATCGAAGGTGGCGATGGAGACGTTGGAGATGAAGATCAAGAGAAGGCAGGGGCAGCGAGGCAGAGGCTGCTGTGGGCCACCTTCGGAGGCGAGGCGCGACAGAGGCAGGCCAGGCCAGGCCAGGCTAGGGCAGACGAGCTAAGGAGCGGGCGAGCGGGCGGGGCAGAGGCAGGCGGGCGGGCGGACGGGTGGGCTAGAGCAGCCCGGCGTATCGGCCGCCGCCCCGTCGGTCGAGTGCGGAGGAGGCTCAGCCAGGCCGGGCCAAAGTGCCACAGGCGGCCGCGCCGGAGCGAGCGAGGCGAGGCGAGGCCTGGCCTGGCCTCGCCAGGCCACGCAGG